AGATAGATAGATAGATAGATAGATAGATAGATAGATAGATAGATAGATAGATAGATAGATAGATAGATAGATAAATACAATTCCAACAGTGCATCTCTGGATTTATTAAAAGAGAACCTGTTCCCTAATTTTCTCTTACCTGTAGGAAATGTTGAAGCCAGTCAGGTTGTAAGCTGCATCACTGAAGAAGTGCAACAGGGTGAAGCCAGACTGAGACACCACCTCAGGAACCGTCTCATTGCCATACTGCTCTGGAACAATCAGACCGCTGTAAAAACAACAGAAACGTGGCATCTCAAGTCATTTTATTTACCCTTTATATATGCATTCCAAGAATAGAAAATTGTGTATTTAAAGACCAGACTCACATTGTAGATAATTGTGATTAATAAGGATTGCTAATTTACGTAAAAATCAAAGATTTTTATAGAAAATGTTTACAGAAGGAATAAAATTAAACACTTCAATCAAGATTTTAGTACAAAAAGAAAGTAAATTCACAACATTAAAATCTAATTCCATCAAATCCACAGAACACCTACCTAAAGGCAGCAAGAAGAGGCGCATAAATCGAGTCGCCATCATAAACGTACAGGTGGTCCCAGCTACATTCAGTGGCAAAGTGGTTGAATCGTAATCGTATAATGGAGTTAGGCCTGCCAAACACACACAACCAGAATTATTACAGTGAAGAAAGAGAACATTTGAAATTCTTACAAAAGGCATTTGCAAAAACCTGAGGGGAAAAAATAAAACAAAATAAAGCTTTTTAGATACCATATTTTTCCAATTATAAGTCACACTTTTTCATTTTTTCGGTCCTGCGACTTCAGATCAACTTACCTGTTTTTTTCCCCTTCATGATGCATTTTTTAACTGCTGCTTTAAATGTTAGTTCATTCTGACTGACATGAACAAAAAGTAAACATTACCATCTGCAGGGCTATTCCTGTAGCCTACTGATTAAATAAAAAATAGAGCAGCAGAAAGAAAGTTTGGAGTGAATGAAAAACCTGAACTGCACTGAAAAAAAATGAAGAAAGATGAATGCGTGACRTGGAAAAGAACTGGTGAATTTACAGCTAACATGCTTGTTGGAATGCATTGGGCCTGGCTGGTTGTGCTTAAATAGAGCAGAGATTCACCTCACTGCAGGGGATCAAAATTATTAAAAATGTTCAAATTTAATTTCATYTGATTTTTGACATAATAACAGACTACACCAAACGCTAAGGAAAATGGAAGACACTGGTCCATCCAGCAGGATGACACTAATGACGAGAGGGCAGGACGACAGCTAATATTMGCAGCTTGTTGTTGAGAACTTGTTTTTTGATATCTTGCTGTGTGTGGTTTAGTAGAACATGTGAAAAAAAAAGTCACAGTCATTGCAGACGATTAAAACTATTCAGCATCCCAGGAGATACAGTATGTTCTGTGTGTTATTCCAGATCAAAAGTCTGTTCTGATGTGTTTTATGTTCAGCTGCAACTTGAACTCCAAAGCAAATTGTGTTTTTTTTCCTCTTCATCACGMATTTTTGACTTATGCGACTTATAGTCCAGAAAATGCAATATTTAAATTATTTAAATACAAAATATCCTTGTTTTCTGTTAACTTCAGCAGRAGTGAAGTGAATTGCAATAAAATTCATGTGATAGATTTGACTGTTTTATGCAAGACGTCCATCCTGACGCAAACTGGGCTTGAACCTGCAGCCTCAGGATAACAAGACGTTAACTCCATATATGAATTATATTGAGATAAATACAAAAATTCAGTGAGAAAAATAATTAGATTCCTTGTTAACTCTCCGAAGTTTGCTAATTTACAGTATTCCTTTTTTATGTTTCAGTTTAATGAAGAAATTTAAAATGTCTTGTGAATGCCAGAAGAAGAAAAAAAGATTTCAAATTGTTTTGAATGAAATTAAATGAATTTTGTATTTGATCCCCAAACAGAACATGACTCAGGCAAACGCTGAGATGAGGCATTTCTTGTTGGTAAACAGATTTGCACACATCTCTGGAGGGATTTTGTCCCACTCCTCTTCGCAAAAACTCTAAATCCTTCAGGTTTCTTGGCTTCCGCTTGGCAACCCAAAGCTACGGCTCTACATATTTTCAGCCTGCTAAGTATAAATCTAGCGAGTTGCTTGGTCTACCGAGACGACATGAGAGCCAACTCCAGTAGAAGGATCAACAGGGGTGCTGGTATCTACCATATTTTTCGGACTATAAGCCGCGACTTTTTTCGTGAACTTTGAACAATGCGGCTTATAGACCGGTGCGGCTTATACGTGGATTTTTTTTCTTCAGCCACCAGGGGGCTCTTATGCTCCATTTGCTTCAACCACTCGCTTCAAAAAAAGAAGAAAAAAAAAGAAAAAAGCGATCGCTTCCAGAGCTGACTGTTGTACCAGGAAGCAGCGATTTAAAGATAGTCAATGGCCAAAAACTCATAAAAGGGGATAAAACAGACATTTTTCATGGTGGAATCTGACTGATAAAAACTTTGGAGCTTAATCCAGGACCAGTTTGTGAATAAACGTCGAGTGAAGAGCCGTGGACTTTGTTTTTCCTCATTGCACTCCCYGGGGAAGGAATCCCATGCAGTGACGTATGCTGGAGCAGGAGGGCTTTCCCAGCACAGCTTCAGAACCAGCATTACCCCAGGAGGACAGCGACACAGAAAGCAACACTGAACAGATACCGCTGTGTGACGCAGCTTTTCTCAGCTTGTTTAACTCCGACACTGAAGAAGAGGACTTCGATGTTTTCAGTGCGCCGGAAGATGAATGAGACGTTTTGTTGGACCAGAAACTGTTAAAGAAAACTACCAAAATAAGGTCAGTTAAATGAACCGTATTCCTCCGAACTTTAATTCCTAAAGGTTTGCTTTTTATGTTTTGATGTTGAATTCACTTTTTTGACAGCAAATTTGGGTGTACTGTTTTTTTTTATGTTGGGGGTGCGGCTAATAGTCCGGTGCGGCTTCTATGTTAATGTTCGCGGATTTTTTTTTAAATGGCGGGTGCGGTTTATAGTCCGGTGTGGCTTATAGTCCGAAAAATACGGTACTTCAACAACAGTTGGTGCTTGAACTCTACTGTCACTGAAAGACACTGTTGTAGATTTTATTATTACAATATAGAGTCTTTTATCTACAGAGAGAATGCTGTATTGTCTTTGTATTCAGAAATCATCTGTGCTGTGAACATTTCTTTAAGTGCTAATGTTAAACTACCTTTAGTTCACCTGAATAGTGCCATCAACAACAAAAGCACTGCTCACCCAGACTGTGTTTATGGGCAGCAAGATACTGGACCAAGTGTACACCAGTGTTACTAAGGCAAAGAGAGCACAGTCTGACTCCCACCTGGGTCTGTCTGATCACCTCTCACTCCGTTTTTAGCCTTTGTACCAAGTACAAATGCAGTGCTGCCGATCGACAAGTCTGTAAAAATCTGACCAGAATACTTTGTAGCGCAGCTTCAGGGCTCCACCAACAGCACCGACTGGAAAATGTTTGATGCACGGGGAACAATGGATGATCTTAAAGAGGTACTGAAGGATTACACAACCACAGTCATGAACTACATAAATTAATGCGTGGGCAATGTCACCAGCAGAGTGATCCCCAACCAAAACTCATGGATGACTGATAAAGGCCCGGGATGCTGCCCCAAAGATCTGGTGATGCTGCAGCATACAGCTCTGCCACATCAGACAACTGACACAATAAATTCATGTTATTCCACTGCTATTTCACTTCTTATTCATGCTGGAGAATGAGTTTATCTCATGAAGCAGAGTAACAACGAAACTGACTCAAAGCGTTTAAATAAAATGCTCACACATTCATCAATCATTGACCTTCGTAAGCCTGTYTTCATCTTCTAATAAAATTGTTTTATTTTAGTTTTTATTGCTCTGGACCAGCAAGGAGTTTGTGTTGAGATGAGACTGATTTTTGTTCTAGAGCTGCAGCTTGTGGTAGTAGAAACAAAAAAAGACTGTCCTTCCTCACTTCCCACACAGCGGCATCTAGCAAAGACATCTTTGATTGACCTTGAATGCTAAAGTACAGTCTGTTTTTCGTTTTTTTGTAAAACTGTAACTAAAACCAACCCATTTTTGGACAAGTTTATGGTACAATGAACCAGCAACCTGCTACACTTAAGTTTGAGGAACTGAAGTTTTCCCAACTCTCTCATCTCTAATAACAGTAGTTTGATTATTTTATCTAAGACTCTGAATCTGCTACAAAATGCTGGTGATTTTTAAGTTAAATCTGCCTGCCATGACCAACCTTTGGGGACCAGAAACCTGCCAAATTTCCAGCATGCAACTGTGATTTCCAGGAGGTGGTCTGCATCAAGCTGTTCCAAGAGTTTCCTAATTCGTTCAGGAGTTAACCATCGAAAGGCTTCATTGATAACAAGATTTTCTCCATTATATTAAAGATATGACCGAGTCTGTCCATTAGTGTTGTATAATCATTGTCGGTTAATAAGATTCAGACTCATTTTTGTGATATTATTAATTTAAAAAAAATAGTAACTCATTGGCTTCCCTTCTTTCTTGTCCCATTCATCATTTGAATTTTATTTTAACTTCAATCACGATTCATCAATTCTTTTACCTTTTTGCAATAAAGTTTGACTGGTCCTTCATTTTCTATTCTCTGTTAACATTTGTATAGATAAATTTACTTTATTTCATAGACTTTATTTTGACCAGGCAAATCCCACTGAGATCACAGACCTCTTTATTTTAAAAAGAGAACATATTACGCCAAAGACACTTTTTTAGCCGTTACATACATTTTGTTRTGTACTTGGAGTGTCTAAGAGTGCAGAAAGGCTTAATTTAGTCTGTCCCAGTGCTGCGCACATATCTTTATTTTCTGTTTGGGTCATTTTTCAACCTGTTCAATTACGTTTTCTAAACTATTATGTCAAATTATTTGCGGTCTGGACTTACAAACTACAATTTCATTGTCTTCATTTTCCTCTGTTTCTCAGGCGGGGTGTGCAAAGTCTCACTTTGATTTATAGGAACTGAATCAAAATGAGCTGATTAAGACACACCTCAGAAAAGGGGTGAAAGAGGGGCTGATAAAGCTAAAATAAGGAGAAACTCACACTAAAGCATTGCAGTTCCACTTTATATAGACCCCAACTGAATGATTTAAAAWCATATGTCCACTTTAACTGGTTMAAAAAATAACACAATTTTCCAAATATATCTCAGTTGTAAAGCTGATTAACATTTAAAAATGAGAATAATTTGAAAGAGAAGCTTCTTTCTATTTATCTGCGAGTACGAGAATAATATGAAATGTTTTGAATGGCCATTCTCCTAAAACCTTGTATTCCCTCAAGCCAAGTGGTGACTCCTTTTTACTCGTCTGGGTACACAAACCTCACCAAAATGACAGCTGCCTCTAGCTTTTATTACAGTAGAGGACTTGTGACCAGTCATCAGAAGTAAGGACAGGCTGCAGGGACATGACAAAGAGAGGCTCTTCTCCCACCCCACCGGCAGCCACCATCTGATCCTTTTCACCAAAGCAGCACAAACAAAACGCAGCCCTAGTTTTCAAGACAATTCAAGGCCTGTTGGTGGGCTGAGTTAATTCAAGCCATTTTTACACATTTATCAGCAAAGAACGGTTTAGTGTAATGCCTTTAATGCAGGGGTGCTTGAAAAAGGAAAACCTTTTACTGTAGTTTTTTAGATTAAAATTGTAATCACAATTACCRAAGATGATCTGAATGATTTGAAAGCACTGCATTTATTGTCCTTAAAGAACAGTGACATGCCATAAATGAAGTTTTCCCGATTACTTTACTAAGAACATTCTCTTTAAATAACTGACAAAAATTTAGTCAATTTTAGGCAACTGTATAAAAAAGCCAGTAAACAAGTAAATACTTCAATAAACGCTATGCCTGCAAATAAATATTATTGGGCCCTATCACGTTTTCTGCACCCAATTAATGGTTCCAAGATCCAAGTTTTATGATGGAACCTTTTCTTTTTACCTATAAAGTGTTTGCTTTTATAGTTGAATAAGAAACCTTTAGAATTAAATGAGAAATTATCCAAAATGTTAGACAGATTTTAATAAAAACACAACAAAAAACATTTCAGTTTAAAACACCATCCTTCCCTTTAGTTATGTGTCTAAAAATCTGCCTTTTAAGGTTTTATAAACAAAAACTTTTGTTTTTCTTCTTCACGTGAACATAAAATTCACTCTGTGATAATGAATACATTAAATACAGTGTAAAACTATTCTGTTTTTGTCCTACTTGACTCAATCATGAAGATGACGATGGTTGGTCAGGAGGATGCAGATATCAGTTTAAATGTACTGACTGTCAATATCCTTGTCAGTAAACAATAACAGAGGATGGCTGAGTACTTGAGTGAATTTTCTCTGTAATGCATCTTCTGATAGTTTTTGGTATTGTCAGACCCTTTGTGGTCATCATATTTAAAATATTTAATAACAGTATATTTCCAGCAGTGGGTTACAAGTGCACTCAGGTACACACGTTGCTTTTGTTCACAATGAAGTTGCAGAAACAAGAGCTAACAACCACAACATGTGGTTTAGTTTACAAAGCTTACATTTACAGATTATGGATGGATGCATGGAGCTTTGTAAAATCATATGCCTTTTTATGGTCCTTTACTTTGCTTTTATGGCACCTGATAAATTATACAATTAGATTTTTGCAAATAATTCTAAATACAACTAAGTGACTCAGAACTGTGTCAATGTCAACATAATCTCAATCAATCATTTAAAAAAAGCAAGTTATAGCCTGAATCTTTGTTATAACTCGTGTAGAAACAACCATTTAAGGCAAAACTAACAGCAATGTAAAGGTTTACAGAATAGTGTTTGTATAAATTGTTTAAAAGATTTGAGCTCACCTAGGATGACAGCGATCCAGTTTGGTCTTAAACTTTTTTAAATTAGAAATTATCTCATCTATCTGGTCCAAATGAAGCTTGATTTTCACCATAATTAGGTCTTTATCCACAAACCACAGCACTGATTTAATTTAAAGTTGTCTAAAAACATGATGCAAATTAAATCTTCTTAAATGGAAGGAGTTAATGTTAAAAATGTGTTAATTTATTTTAGATTGAGAGCAACACAGTGGGTGACAAGGCTGAGTTCAGTCCCAAGATGATGAAACTGAGCTGTACTTACTGTCCCTCAATAAGCCAGGTGCACTTGGTCTTATGTAGGTAGTTTCCTGGCCCATCAGTCAAAAAGCCAAACGGGCCTGTAAGCCTGAAAGGAAGATGAGAAAAAAAATGTTAAGAGTTAATATAATTCATTCAAAAAGTTTAAAATTGATCATTTTAGTATGAAACAGCTGATAAAAAATAACATTAAAACTAGAAAATCTCTGAATAATTTTAAGGCTAATGAAGCAGCTGCCTGAAGATCATCCAATTCTATAATAGTTAAGGCCAATATATAATCTGATACATAATCTAAAAAATAAAGTGAACAAAGCTGCCAAAAATCAAATATTCTAAGTCCTTCCTCCGTGAGCAGAATTACGATCACCCGTGACTTTTTTGTTACTACTATGTTATGACAACTTCACCATTCACTTCCAGTTTTCAAGAGCATATTTTGAACAAAACTGTTGGTGAAAGCTTGGCTGTATACTCCACTCAAAAGGAATTCAAAAACAAACCACACTATTTACAGTGGTGGGAGACACTGAGTGAGARAAGACAAAAATTTCTACCTCCTTTGTAGACCTGAATTTATATTTTTTTAAAAACAATGTGGGAGTAAGAAGAGTTGGTTTCCAAAAGTTTAAGCATTTCTAGACATCACAAAACTTTAGAGTATGGCATCATCTACTGTTGAACAGTTTATGGAGAATTCTTCAAAATAAAAAATATAAAAAAATAAAAATAAATCACAAAACAACCAAGATATCAAAATGTCAGTTCAGACGTGTAAAGTCCAACTTTCTGTGACCCATTTAAAATTTAAATGACGTTTCTCCCTTGGAAGTCTTCCTAAGCAGTAGAGCTACAAACAGGGCTGAAGTTTTCTCATGTGTTTTGCTAAAAGCTCATTTGTCTTCATAGTTTGTGCAGTTTCTTGCAAAACTTTGGACACGTCTGAGAAACCAGTATCAAAAACCCATAGCACACCACTATAGCTCAAGTTGCAAGTTCAATGAATAACTTGGATATTTTATTTTAAAGCTGTTCAACAAGATACAGGACAAAAGAATATGAAATTGCAATAAAGGTGATCAGACACCTCTAACTGGTTGTTGGTTGTTGTTCCTAGTTTGGAATACAAGAGTCATCAGATCAGAGAGCGCTCAGGTAAACACTAACTTCTGCTGCTTTGTGTGTCGCGTCATGCAGCTCAGTAGATGACTGAGCACTAAAGTGGCTGTAAAAGATTAAAGTTCACAGCAAATTATGTAAGATCAACAGCAGCAAACAAATAAACACTGTAAGCTGTACCGCCCAACCTGTTGTTAGTCGACTCTGCCTTGATGACGTGGTCGAAGAGGGGAGTGTACAGTGGGACAGGGAATACTTTGATGCAGTCATACATTGTATCATTACTGAACTCATGGTGGAATAAGGTCTCAACACTTTCTCCTCTAAACATTTCCTGAGAAACAAAAACAAAACAGTTTCCAACCGTCCTCAACCACAAGAATGTATTCTGCAGAAATCAAGTCCAAAACTATAAAGGTCTAACGGTCATGGAAAGAATGCAGATCACCTGCTTTTCAAGAAATTAAGTTTGCTTGATGTGTCAATTTTTTGAACTCCTTCACTTCAACCAGGACGTTTACTTCAATCATCGCACAGTTATTAAAGTGTTTTAGCTTCTTGCCCACCTCCATGACAAACTTCCTTGTTAGATTCCTGCTGCTTATTTTGCTTCCTTGTCTCAGATGCCAAGGTCAAATCAATAGTTCAAGGCAGTGGTTTGGGCTGGGAGGCCCAAAGTCCAAGATTAAAGGGTGCTGTTACTTTAACCACAATTTCACAAGCCAAACGTATGATGCTATGAGGCAGCAACTCTCTTGTGCTGTCTCTGCAACTTGTACATGCTGTTTAACTGCTGAAATGTCTTAAATGAACACCCGCAAACTAATTCTTCTCATGTTCAAAAAGCTCAGAGCCTTCTTGTCTTCTCATGAATAGTGGCAGAGTTTTCTCAATAAAAAATGTCAACTGTAAATAAAAAAACACACTAAAGTAAACCTGTACCGGTAAATCAGATGAGTCCTAACTCCTGTATAAATTGTTCTCATTGACATCATCATCCAATTACGTTTTTTTTTTTTTTTAATTGGACGTGACAGGTTTGTGGGCTAGCATTTAGCTTGTAGCTAGGAAACCAGTATGGTGGATCCACAAAAGCTGGCTACAAAAATAGAAATAGMAATAAAAAGTCAAACAAGGCAGACAGACACTACCAGGAAACACTGTACTACTGTCATAAACTATGACACCAAAAAACACTAAAGTTAAACCAGCACTAAGCTTTGGTGTTTACATGGTGCAAGTCACAGATCCTACATATTGTTACCTTTGGAAGTGAGCAGGTGAGGCATGGGAGTGGACTGCGGTATACTTTTACTGTCTGTGTAATATATAAACGTACTACGCAGTGATCTGAGCACTCTGGATGGCTGGGATTGGGTTTAATCTTTTGCTGGCTACGTCATTTAATGCTTGGACCTAGCCACTTATCCTGATGTCTCAATGTGGTGGCACAAAAAAAACCTCAGCTGGCGCTRGCTCTTAAAAGTCTGACGCTTAAGAAGCAATATACCGATATGTAAACAATATTCATTTGCTCCCACAAATATGGTGATTCGAACATGATCTGCAAGTGGCCACATCATTTGAGAACCATCTATATTTGTCTATTTCACCTCTGAATGACAAAAAWTAAATACAAAATTCTAGCTTTTGGTACCACTCCTGGATTTTCAGTGTCATCCACCCCCAAACCCCACACACTTGCATTTCTGGAGGCACCACTGCGATGACATCAGCTGTTGTAAACCCACATTTTCCTGACTCCTCACTTTCTCTTTAGTCATAACTCTCATCTAAACCAGGTGTGGGCATCAAGGCTAAGGAGAGTCTGATAGATTGACCAAATATATCATTAGCACACCCAACATCAATGAATGGTACTTATAATATAATGGTCTATGATTTACTGCAGTCCAAGCTGTTCTTTATAGATTTTAAATTGATATTGCACTCACTGGTATTGCAATCAGAATAAATGTGTGCTATATTGTGCAGAAGATGAAAGCAGTAGACAAAGTGTTGCTGATAAATGCAGATAGTTTCAAATGAATCTGAATGTTTGGCCTGATAAATGATAACATTAGAGTCGTTGTTTTTAGTTATAAGACCATAACTTCTCCAGCTAATGGAAATATCATTGGGATTGTTCAGAATGTTTCTAATGAGAGCCACCGAGAAAACCCCCAAGAGCACAGGCATGTTTGCAGCCAACCACACAGCGCCAGAATAGTGCTGAAGCATGTTGAAAATGGCCAACAGCAGCAGTACATTTACAGTTTAGTCTGTGCATAAAGAAGCACACAAGTTTGAAAATCACATGACTACAAAAAGGGCATGAATCCTCACCAGAATATTTGCTCTTTATGCAAACTCAACCTATTTTTTTCCTTCGGCTATTGTGTGGTTAAAAGCTGCGATCAGCAGATCTTTTTGTGCAGATATTAAGAACAACACAGCTTATTAATGTTAAGGGTGGCTGGAAGTTAAACTGGAGTTGAAGTAAATTATGCAGTAAGAGTGGACCTTTAAGGTCAGGGGTCTGCAACCTGCAGCTCTGGGGGGCACATGTAAGACTAGATAACAATAAGGATTAGACAAAACATATTCTTATTGGATGTTCAGTGATATAACTTTTTAATTATGTTTGGGGAGTGGGGTGGAGTGTTTATGTGTTTTTATTATTAATCGCAAAATATTTTATATTATTTTTATTATCTGTAGGACTACAGATGTAAATTAGCCTAATGGTGCGTTCACACCGAACGCGATTTCAGCTTCAAAATCGCAGCCAACGCTGAAGTCTGAAGCTTGTGCACTTTGAGGTCAGACGCAGGACAGTTGTTGAAGCGCTGCACGGCGACAGCCGCCCCGCCCCTCCCTCCTCNAAATCGCGCTGCTCTAATCGCGCTTGAGGCGCCGCAGAACTTCCCGACGTTGCTTGAAGCGCCTCCACCATAGACTTTGCATGTAAACCTGCTGCTCCTGACGCTGAAATCGCGTTTGGTGTGAACGCACCATTAGGCTAAATCTGGTGCAATGCATCAAATATTTTGATGTTTGTTTTATTGCACACGGTCCTAATAAATAAATAAATAAATTCATTCGTATGCCTGAATAGTTCTTTTGTACTAGTTTTTATAAAATTCAGTATACAGTATTTTTGTTGTTTACATGAATTAGTGCTGGGCGGTATACCGTTTTGTACCGAATACCGGTTTTTATTTTTGTTATGATATGAATTTTTTGAATACCGGACATTCCGRTTTAAATAGCGGAACATTTCGTCGCGACCGCCAGTGAACTGTTGTTTCCCGGGGGACATTTTTCCTTGCTGCACCGCTATGTGCGTTAGCATGCTAATGTTTGGAGCAGCTAGTTGCAGCCGCGGGTGGCGATTCCGCTGMTTATATTGACTGATGTTTAAAAAAAACATCCCATTTTCGCCGTCGCTGAATGTAGTAAACACCTCTTCAGTGACGTGCAGTTAGATTTAACGCGGTTAGTTAATATGGAGACGTTATGCTGATGGAGACTTAACTTGGTTCTATTGTGAAAAGCCTGCAGGAAGTAGTTCGTAGTGGAGTTGGAATTGACTGGTGTGCAAGGTGAGTCGTGCTGATAAGCTTTAATAAATAACATAAAACAATAAACACGATCATAATCTTTTCTTAACCCTCCTCCTTCACGACTGGACCAAAATGCGTGACTCCTGTCTCCAACCACCAGTCAGAGAAGAACAGACACAGAGGAGGGAAACAGCGACCGTCAAATACCGTGAAACCGGTGAAAATGTTGAAAATACCGTGATATAAAATTTTGATCATATCGCCCAGCTCTAACATGAATATGGTATTTTGATTTGTCCCGATGTATAAATATAGTCATAAATAATAAAATTCACAATACATTTTTTAGTTTTATAATGTCACCTCTACTGGCCGTAAAGGTTCCAGAAAAAGGCCTCGAAAA